AAATCAGTTGGTACAGATATGCCAATATATTTCAGATATACCAGATAATTTAAATAAATACCAGATATACTAAATCCATAATTATCTGCAATCTATAATTATCTCCAATATCGTCTACATTTGAAAAGTCCTACTTTATGTAAACGTCAATCCGGCCCCCATTTTATACAAAAAGAAAGCGATCAATTAAAGGAAGAGAAATTTGAAACCGATGGTGTTTGTTCTCACGATATTCCGAAGAGTCCAGTCGAACACTCCCCTACTGCTAACCGACGCATGCGGGTAACCTTTGATCGTTGACTCGTTCACCGCCACCATTACCGAGTCGGCTCACTCTCCATACTTCCGCTATCCACTGAGTCAAGAAGATGCTGCACAGTTCACATTCTCTTTGGCTGGCCTTTGGAACTAACACTCTTGTGTCTGTCGCTCTGGTCTGCGTGTTAATGAATGGATTTAGCACAGTGCACATCCGTACGCACGATAGGGTCTATTCTCCAGCAAATTGGTATTGTGCATGTCGGCAGTTATTCCCACTCCGGCAGTTTAAAGAAGGAAGCGAGTCATCCATGGCGAAATGTTGGTTTTACCGGTAATTGGGCCAACCAGAGAAAATTAGGCCTGTTAGCTGGCTCGTTAAAATTGAGCCCAATCGACCATTGGCCCATTGGTACATATTATTGGGCTTACAACTCGATAATATTTCGGATAGAGCCGATTAGGAAAAAAAAAAACCCAAAGAGAGATGGTGGAATAGGAGAGTAAAGGTGCAAAGACTACAACTATGCACTTTTTTTTTATTTAAAAATGTTAATTTTGTTAGTTTCTAAATAAGGATGTCGACTTTCAATTTTTTCTAAATAAGGATGTTAACTTGTCAGTTTCTAAATAAAGATGTCAACTTTCAACATTTTCTCTTTAAGGATGTCAACTTTCAACTTTTTCTCTTTAAAGATTAATTGAATAGTGATGCTAATGTGGCTAACATATTTTTTAGGTTAAATACCTGAATTGGTCCCTCAACTTCTATTTTTGAACCAATTCATCTTTAAATTCAGAAAGTACCAAAAATGTCCTTCAACTTCAATTTTTAATTAATAAAATTATTTCCTAATTCATGGAAGAATTAATTAAATTTTATTTAATTTTATTAAATGGTAGGTGGGACTAATTAAATGGGAAAATATATTAATTGTTTTAATTTTTAAATAT